CCTGGTATGTACACGGGTAAGAGAAAAGGGTTCACCCTGGCTGGAGCATTGATAGGGAGGTAGGGGTGCCGGATGTGACTTGAGAGGTGGACAAGAAAATAAATTAATTTAAAAAAAAAAAAACCCTTCCAGACAGAGGTCCTGGTATGTACACGGGTAAGAGAAAAGGGTTCACCCTGGCTGGAGCATTGATAGGGAGGTAGGGGTGCCGGATGTGACTTGAGAGGTGGACAAGGGCCACAACATCGGGACCTTGGCATCCTTCTCCTAAGAGTTTGGACTTCTTCCTGAGGGCACGGTGGCGATGTAAGCGGGGCCGGGGGACAAAGACATGATCTGCCTTCAAGACCTGCCACTCTGGTCTGGGGTGCAGGGTGCAGGGAGAGAAATGGACCAGCAGCCTGAAGCAGAGAGAGAAATGGACCAGCTGCACCCCAGCAGCCTGGGGTGCAGGGTGCAGGGTGCAGGGAGAGAAATGGACCAGCAGCCTGAAGCCTGAAGTGGTGAGGGGGCCCACACCAGAGGACTGGCAGGGAAAAGCGGGTTGGGATTTTTTGGACGGGGACTGGGTGAGGGCAGCGAGGGAAACAGAGGTGTCAAAACTATCCAGATAACCCCAAAGTAGCAAGATCTCCAGTTTTGCTGCTGATCAGTATCCCCTGGATAAAATAACAAAAGCAGTTTATTCACCAGTCAAAAGACACAAAGGTGATGGAAGCAGGTCCTGCCACATGTCCACTCTGCTGGGATGTTGGAGGGTTTGAAGGGAGTTTCCATCCTCAGCACTTACAACACACACACGTAAACACAGCCCAGGGGTTATTCTGTTTCCCTTGAATTCTTTTTTTACAGTAACGGCACAAAGCTGTACATACTGCTTTCTGCTCAGCATTAGATCATTAACATTTTCACTTAGCATTGTGCCAATAACATTCCCTTCAGATCAATACAGATCAACGCATAAAACTCTCGACTCTTTTTTTGAAGATTTTTTATTTATTCATTTGAGAGAGAGCGTGCGCGAAAGAGAGAACATGAGCAGGGGCAGGGGGAGGGGCAGAGGGAGAAGCAGACTCCCTGCTGAGCAGGGAGCCCCATGCAATGATGGGATGTGATAAGGGGCTTGACCCCAGGACCCTGAGATCAAGACCTAAGTCCAAGGCAGATGTTTCACCAATGCTTAACCCACTGAGCCACCCCGGAGCCCCTTAACTCTTTCTTTGTAATACTTGGCATAATATTCCATAATATGAATGGCCCTTAAGTTATTAAACTCATCCTGTACTGGGGTTTTTTTTTTTTGCCACTACAAAGAAAGTTGTAATAAACATCTGTGTGTGTGTGAGCGTGAGCACGTGCACACGCAGGGTACTTCCCCAGGAGAGAATGTCTGAGTCAAAGGGCTCATGCTGTTTTTATTCTAGTAGACGCTGTCAAAATTCCTACAACAAAAGGTGGTAGCCGTACTTTCTCTGTCTACCTGTTTGAAGGTGTCCATTCTCTTTAAGCTTAGCAGTATCGAGTGGAACTGTTTATCACGTTGCTGATGTGAAACTATTTAAGACTGATTCAAGGGAGTCGTGATTTGCGATTTCCTTGACTCTTTGTTGAGCCTTTCCCCTTTGGCTGCTCCCCGTTCGTGCCGTCTGCCCAGTGTGAGGCCAGTTCTGTGCCATGTGTCTGCAAGTGAAGGGGTCGTCCTTTTCAGATCGTAACCCGGGGACCCTTTCACCGCTTGTTTTGTCAACCAGCTAGAGTGCAGTATCTACTTTCCTACAACGTGAGACATTTGAGGGGGCATTAATTCTATGCCCAGACTTGCTCCAGATTCAAGAACGCCAGCCCTGCTGGGGCATCTCTTCTCTGCCCTATGCTCCCGCTGACCTAGACACCCTCCCTCTCGGGGCGGGGGGGGTGCCTGGTTGGTGTTGCTGGCATTTTTAGGTGCTTCAAATGGCCCTAAGAGCTTTGTCACACAAACCCCCGCCGGGGTTAGTGGCTAGCTAGCTCAACGTTACCCACATAACACAGTCCCCCTCGACCCCTGTCCCCCACAATGGAAGCCCCAATCTCCACTTTCCACTTTGTCACCAGGACCTGCTGCCGTTCCCGGGTTTGGGTTTGGGGGCCATTATGAAGTGAGAATCCACCATAGCCGTGTTTGCTCAGCCATGCATGGGGCAGCTTACCAAATTGGGGGAGCATCCACCCTGCTTGCAGCTCAGAGCTCCTGCCTCTCTGTTCTAAGTGGCTTGCACCCCTCTTCCAGGGCCTTCCTCTTTCCAAGTGACCAGCAGATTGACCTGGAGCTGTGGGCACAGCAAGCAGAGTTTGACGCCACCGAGCTTCACCAAATGCGTGTGCAGGACAACTGCGTATTCTCCATCAGCCCCAAGGCTGGGAGCCTGAGTCCTGGGCAAGAGCAGGTGGTGGAACTCAAATACAGGTACTCCTCCCACTGCCTGTCCTACACTTCCGGTCCTGGAGACCCTGCCCCCACCCCTCCCTTTCCCTGTGCTCCTGGAGGAGCTTGGCCTTGCACTCTGTGACTCCAGAGTACCCTAAGTGCCCGCCGCGGGGGGAGGACCCCGTCCACCCACTTGGCGGGGAGGTTTCATGTCCCTCTTGCCCCATCCCAACTCAGAGGTTTCCACACGCTCCCAGGGGCTTTGCTCTCCTGCTGGTACCGGGGCTCCATAACTCAGCCCAGACTCGTCTCTTCCCTTCCAGCCATGTGTTCGTGGGCACCGATCGCCTCCCAGTGCTCTTCAAAGTGTCCCATGGCCGGGAGATCCTGGTGAGACCCCAGACCTCGTCCTGTCCTGGATGCCTGAGAGAGGAGCAGGGAACTGTGCCCCCCGGGGAGCTAGGGTCCAGATCTTTCTGCTGGGTGCTTCCGTCTTTCCCAGGGAAGGATGCTACTCATGGATTTTGTCTTTCCAGCTAAATTTCATAGGTGTGACAGTGAAGCAGGAGCAAAAGTATGTGCACTTCACCTCCACCAGCCACCAGTTCGTCCCTGTCCCCATCGGTGACACACTGCCCCCAAGGCAGGTCAGTGGTCTACATTGTCCTGATCTCTGTGTATCTGCATCAGCCTTTTACAGGGTGACAAAGACCCTGCCCTCCAGAAGTCCTCACTCTAAGAGGTGGGGCTACAGGTCAAACCCTGAGTTTGGGCAACTGGGAGAAATCCAAGGTGAGAAGCTTCCGCTTCCTGGTGCTTGGTGCTAAGTAAGCCCTTTGCCGGGCCTTGTTCCTGTGTTCCCATGCAAAAGCAGGGGGGTCTCTCTTCTAGCACAGGATTCTTCAAACTTCTTTGATCATGAATCACACTAATATATTTTGGATAATAACTCAGTAAGTACATACATACACATATACTTAAAGTACCGCAAATGAATGTGTACACTACTACACGCAAAGCATTCTGATGTTTTCCGTTTTTATTTTATTCTGTTCCACCTGCTAAATTGCTTTCATGGTCTGCTCACTAATAGGTCTCAGCCCCAGGTTGAAAATCACTGCTCCAGGAAAGACATTTTTCTGGAGCGCGAAAAACGAGACTGAATCCTTTCAAAACTATAGAATTTTCTTTATCAAGTGGAGGGAATTGGGTTCCTTTGCTCTGAAAATGTACACTGGAAATCTCCCAGAGGGGGACATAGTATTTTCCCAAACATGCCATAGCTGTGAAATTTCTAACCATTTAGAAGTCCTTGTATTTCTGAGCAGAGGCCTCTGGTCGTCCAGCCTAGAGTCAGAGGAATGGGCTTTCTGAACCTGAGAGGGTGGGACCCCTAGCCCTGAGCTCTATATGCTTCCCTACACCACCCTCTACCTTACTGGCTTCCTGGAAGCCACCCCTTCCCCCCCAAAACAAGGCTGCAGAGACCTATGTCCTTGAAAAGGAAGGCGAAGACTCAGTGCCCCCTGGAGAGCTTTCCTGAAAGACTAGACCACTTCCCTGTGGATCTGAACATAGACAATGAAAAATGCCCCCAGATCGAGCAAGGAGACCCAACTGTGCCTCCAACCAATCTCCACAACTGTGGCCAAGCTTCTACTTTCATTCATGAGATGATGACAGATGGTGGCCTGGATCCATAAGAGGACAGCGGAAGTAGAAGTGAACAGATTTAATTTACATTTTGAAGGCAGAATTATTGGGACTTGCTGGGGCCAGTTTGGGGAAGTGGGAGAAAGGGAGGGATCGAGATGTATTGAATTCCTAGTTTGAGCATTTACTGAAAGGAGATTCCCTGGGGGCGGAGGGGGGTAGAACTTTCTAGTGAAGAGTTTGGTTTTTACCAAATTTGAGATGTCTGTGAGACAATCAGTGGCTGGTGAGGGGGCAGGGAGGGCTTGTGGAGCAGAAGTTGGATACCAGGTCTGGAGCTCAGAGGTGGCCCAGGCTAGAGAAATAAAATCAGCATATTCAAGAGTGGGTTCTGGGAAAGATGAGGGGGCAAAACCTAGATCCAAACAAACTGTTTGCTCTCTCTGGCTTCCATTTTCTAATCCTAAAATGAGGGATTGGACCAGAAGATCTTGGGTTGCTTCCAGGACATTCTGTGATTCCCACACTTTGGATTTAGTCTTGGGGGATGTCATAGCTTCCTTCCCCTCTCTCATCTGCCCTTAAGCAAGACTGCCTCTAAGGGCAGACGTGGAAAGTGGCAGCCTCCTGGGTGATTAGAGGGAGAGCCTTGAAGATGCTGAAGGGTCTGGAGGGTGTGTGCATGGACACTTCTGTAAATCACCACGCTAGAGACACGAGCCTTAGTGTCCCCTTATACCTTGGCAAAAGTAAATTAAGAGCAAATAAAATAAGGATTACAGATTATCCTAAAATGTCCCAGGCTGAAAATACAATTATATACTTCTTGGATCATTGGACCATAAGGGAAATCAGAGGTAGTTAGGGGGCTCTGGGGCTGTAAGGGGGACATCAGGGAAATCAGCCTGCCCTCCCTCAGTGGACACAGAACCCCAGGCTCTCTGCTTTGCAGCCCTGAGCTAGTGTGGAGGCTTCATTATTCCTGCCCCCCCACCCCGCCTGCAGATTTATGAGCTGTATAACGGTGGCTCGGTGCCCGTGACATACGAGATCCAGACGAACATCCTGTCGCAGGTTCAGGAAAAAAATTTCAATCACCCCATCTTCAGCTGCCTCAACCCCCAAGGGGAGATCCAGCCAGGCACAACTGCTCAGGTCTTATGGATCTTCTCACCTATTGAGGCCAAGACCTACACGGTGAGCTGCAGCCTGGGCTGATTAAGGGTGGAGGTTGGTGTTGGCCTCCTCAGCATGCCGTGCTCTGACCAGTCCCTTCCCCACCCTCCTAACTTCCTAGGTGGATGTGCCCATACACGTCCTGGGATGGAACTCAGCCATGATCCGCTTCCAGGGAGTGGGCTATGATCCCCATGTCATGGGGGACACAGCCCCATTCCACAACATCTCCTCTTGGGATGACAACCCCAAGCATACTAGGCTGATGGTTCCTGGACAGGTAGGGGGAAGGGAGGTAGGAAGGCCTGAGACTTAGGAGGAGCCTGAGGGCCCCGGGGGGCCAGTGCAGAGAGAAGCTGGGAAGGAAATGTGATGGAGGTGATAAGGGAGGGTTGCACAGGGGAAGCCTGGAACCAGCCCTCATGGAGCTCCAGCAGGCAGCACACCGCTCCATGAGAGGCTTACCCTGCCACCTAGTGCCCATAGGTGTTCCTGCTCAAGTCACTCTGGGCATTGGGATGGGGATTTTGGAAGGGGTAGAAGAAAGCTCTCCCATTTTAGGGCTGTAAAGTATTATCTTCATACAGAACAGCCCCTCCCTGGACCTAGATGGATTTTGCTGTAAGGTATCTAAGGTCAATAACCCCATCTTTAGTTCAAACACACCCCACTGTTGGGACGTCTGACCCATTCATTCATCCACCCATCCATCCATCTCCTCCCATTGGCCCATATGCCCATTTACTGATCCATCCAGCCACCCATCTACCCACTTCTCCATCCATCCTTCCATACAGCCACCCAGTCACTATACACCTATACATCGGCCTGTCCACCCTTCCACTCCTACCCTTTCTGGACCGTAACTGCATGATGAGCACTATGGAGGCCCTGAGGACACAAAGAAGAGCCAGCCAAAGTCCCAGCCCTGGAGACACTCAGGGTCTGGACAGAGAGAAAGTGCCCCTTCCGTGTGGCCTCAGTCTTTCCAGACCCCCTACTGTTCTGTTCCCATTGAAGATGCCAACTGCCGATCCCCCCATTTATTTACAACCATCCTTCAGGGATTCAAATTACATTGGCTTTAGTTCTGTCTTCTCTAAGCAAATTCTGATTTCTCAGCCCTTCCAAGCCTATTTTAATTGTCAAAAGCATAGACTTTAGAGTGAGACTGGGTTTATCCCCACTGTGCCTGTAAGAGACCTTTGGAAAAATTCTTTATGCCCTCTAAACCTTAGCAGCACATCTATCTGTAAAGTGGGGATGATAATACATATATCACAGGGCCATGGTGAGGATCAAATGTGTGTGAACGGCCTACCATGGTGCCTGCTGAAGGCACTCAGTAACTGGGAGAGGTTGCTATGGTTATGATTTCTTCACCTCCCAAAGTGCCTGTTGTGTTGTCTCCACCAACAGAATGTCTTCCTGTCCCAGTCCCATATCTCGCTGGGAAACATTCCTGTGCAGACCAAGTGCAGCCGCCTGCTGTTCCTCAACAACATCTCCAAGAACGAGCCAGTTGTCTTTGAGTGGCAGCTGAAGCCTCTAGACTTTGGGGAGGTGAGAGTCCCTTATTTCCGCAGAATCAGAACCTCTAGCAAGGCTCCAGGCCCACCCTATTCCACCCCATCCTATCCCATCTTGTCTCATCTTACCCCATCCCACCCCACCATCCTACCCCAGGCCATCCCATCCCGCCCCATTCCATCCCACCCCATACCACTGAATTCCAACCCATCTTATCCCATTCCATTCTAACCCATCCCATTCTATCCCATCCCGCCGCATCCTATCCCATTCCACCCCATCCCACCCCATCTTATCCTGTCCCACC